GAATATGGAAGCTGTGAGGAGCAATACAGGTCAGCATCTCCCTTACAAGATTTCAGATCAGAAAATAGATGAGTTAAATGATTTTTGTTATTTTGAATATAGTTGGCATGTACTAATTGATTGAGTTAAATATGCTCTGATCGATTTTGGTTATTGTGGTCCAATTATGTAACTAAACTGCTTTTACTCTAAGGAAAGTTTTAAATTTTCTTTGAATTTTGTCAAGAGGCAAAGTTTGAAAAGTCAATGTGACACCTCGGACTCGTATCCGGGTCGGGTACGGGTTGGGGGTGTTACAATATGAATTTGATAAGTTAAGTAAACTATGGTTGAAATAATTCTGAGTGGAAAGTGTGTATATGATTAATTGATTAGGTCTTGTACCCTAGATTGAACAGTTGTTATTGACTAGCTGTAAGAGTAAATGTGATAAAGTTATACGATTGGAAGAAAATATAAAGTGGAGTTAATCAAGTATAATATGAATCTGGATGTGGTTATGTATTTTGATTATACAGATATGATGTAGGCAAGGAGATAAGTATTGGTATGTTTTAAAAAGGGGGCTTTAAAAAAGGAAATACAAGTATAAGAGATAGTAAAGAATGAAGTTCTATATAAGTAAATTGGGTTATCAAAGTTACGAAGATGCAATGAAGATTGGTACACAGAGATGAGTATAGGTGATAGGGTAAGAGTATATGAATATGAAAGGAAATATATGATTTATGTATAAGGATATTTCAATTTGGAATGAATAAAGGAATAATGGAATAAAGAAATGAAAAGGATTGAGTTTAAGGGATCAGATATGATGAAAGTTATATGGAAGTGTAGATGATAAGTTCGATATAGAAGTACGAAAAGTGTCCAAGGTGATGTGAAAAGATTCTTTAAAGTGTATGTTTAATCATAATTGAAGAAGATTTAAGGTTGTGTTCTTGGTCAAATGATGATGGAAAATGAGTTTGATTACTGTTATAAGGTAATTAAAGATGGATTTATGAGGTTAAGACATGAAAATTGATGTTACTGTCTACGTGATTAGTGACATTATATGAAATTTTAGAAATGGTCAAAGGAAAATACAGAATAGAAGGAGAGAAAATACATAAATGGATTGAAGTTACTGGTTGTTGTTTAAATGATAAGTAATAGTAAATGAATGTATAAAGGAAAAAGGTAGTTGAAAAAATAAAGGAAATAAACGTTAAGTAAAGGAGGCAACATGAGAACATTAGAAGATATGTTCTTATTGATATGTTCAGTGAAAATTCGAGGACGAATTTTTTTAAAGGATGGGAGATTTGTAACATCCCGAAATCTGAGTCAGTGACTAAAATGAGAATTTTTTAAACTTGGTGATAAAAGTAGAATAGTTAAATAGTTTAATGACTTATTGGAAATATAGTTGAAGGTTGTTTAGTAATTATTGAATGAATTAAAGGGTAAAATGGTCAATTGACAAGTAAGATTTTTATTTTTCTTTATAAGATAAGGGAACCATGTGGAAAGGGAGAGATTTCTCCAGAGTTCTCTTCTTCTCTTTTTTTTTCTTCTTCTCTCTTTTTTTCTTCTTCACGTGGAAGCCAAGAGCAAAGGTAAGTTTATGGTTAATTGATTTCTTATTGAATTTTAAGTTTGGTTTCGATTATCAAGTGACTCTTAAGCTTAAGGGAAGCTTAATTTGTCATAAAACAATACGAGGAAAGGTATAAAAAAGATTAAATGAAGGAAGTGAATAAATGAAATCTTGGTAGAAAGGCATTTATGGGATTTCCAGACCAAATTTGACTTGTCAAGGGTCTAATTAAGAAGTTAGAAACAATATAATTGAATTTGGAACATGTTGAAAATTTAGTGTAATTCTTGAATTACATATGAAGAATAAAATTTTGATGTTAAAGAGGTGATGAATGAATAGAAATGAGTTTGAATATGTGTATGTGAGTTAAGAATATAAAAGGGGATGAAATATGACGAGTTGAGCTAAAAAGAAAGAGAATTTCGTGCTCTAACTGGAATTTCTGGGTTGTGTGCATCGATGCACATTCATTGTGTACCGATGCACTCTCAATTAAATGAACATCGAATGCAGTGAGTGCATCGATGCATAGGGAGTGCATCGATACACCCCTTAAAATGGAAACATAAAATGTAAATTGTGTATCGATACATAGGGTAGTGCATCGATACACTGTAGAATGTATCGATGCACTTCAATGGGAAATGGAATAAATCTTTCTTTCATTCTAAGAAATGATAGATTAAAGTATATCAATTGGATACTGATAAGTATCAGTACATGATTACGTAGATATCGAACACGAACAAATTCCAGGACAACTATCAAGTTAAGATTCGATCGAAAGAAAGGAAATCATAAAAGGGGATTGAAACTTAGTAAGGCCAAGGTGAGTGCATCTTATTGCATAGGATTATATGGAAATTGACTTGCGATAAGTCTATTCCGATAGTATAGTACATGAAGTATGTGATTAATATGAAATGTATGTATGCTTGATTGTATGAGTGTATATGTGTTATGTGATGTATGTGAATATATGGTTATGGAATAAAGTATGTAATAATACAATGTTATTTGAGTTACTTAACAATAAGTCATAAGATTACAGACATATGTAACGTAAGTTATAAGATAAGAAAATATGTGTTTACATGTATTTGTGGATATATATATATATATATATATATATATATATATATATATATATATATATATATATATGAATAAGATATGATATATGTTTATGTAAAACCATGCAAAGTGATATGAGAAGGGAACTACATGATTATGTGATCATATGAGAAAGAGATAAAGAGCCATGTGATATATGACATGAAATATATGAAAGAGAAAGTATATGTGATAAGTGAAAGTGAATCATATGATTATATGAAGATGGGAAACGATATGATAAAAGCTATGAGCATATGAGATATGACTATGCGAAACAATATAAAGATAATACCCATGTTATGTGTTATGAGATCTAGAGATATAGTTGGCATGCCAAGAGTCGAGGGTCTACGCGGTCCTTCGGGACATAGCGGTCCTTCGGGACATTTCATAGTGGTCCTTCGGGACAAATTTCATAACCTCTAGTGGGACCCCATACGAGCTGTGGTGACAGTATAGTGCACAACCACAATAGACTCACATATTTATAGTTCTCAAAAGTGTACATAGGCTAAGCAAAGAGATAACAATGAAGATAGTACTTGTGAAGTATATGCTTTTGTGATATGAACTGTATTATATGATTGATATGATGATGTGTGTATAGTTTGAATGAGTCATATGTTGATAAAAATGTATGATTAAAGAATATAAATGATAATAATATGGATAATATAATAAGATTAATGATGGAAATAATGTGTGATGTGTATATTATATTATATATAATGATTGTGTGACATCATGAAGGGATATGTTCATACATATTTAAGCATTTAGAGTTTCCTTTATAAGTTTAATGCCTCACTAAGTCATAGACTTAGCGTGTGATTGTTTCACACGTAAGTTATAGAAGCGAGAAGAGAAGTGAAGAAGAGCAAGACATGTCAGCATCTCCCTTACAAAATTTCAGATCAGAAAATAAATGATTTAAATGTGTTTGGTTATTTTGAATATAGTTGGCATGTACTAATTGATTGAGTTGAATATGCTCTAATCGATTTTGGTTATTTTGGTCAATTTATGTAAGTAAATCGCTTTTATTTTAATGAAAGTTTTAAATTTTCTTTGAATTTTGTCAAGAGTCAAAGTTTGAAAAGTTAATGTGACACCTCAAACTCGTATTCGGGTTGGGTACGTGTTGAGGTGTTACAGTTTACAACTTGTACCAGCATTTACTACTACTGATCCATATTATCGGTGCTTGCAAACAGCGGTGAACCCAGAAAAATTTTATGGATTGAGTTAATATAAAAATGAAAAAATTGTATCTAAAATAATTTATATGTTAGTATTTTTAAAATTTTAAAATATAATAACATTATATAAATATATGGATTGAATCTAGAAAAATATTTAATGGATCGATATAATTTTTTAACATAATTCATACATGTTTTTTAGGGTAAACTAACTATGTGGTCACTCATCTATTACTAAATTTATGTTTTGGTCAATCAACTATTATTTTTTCAAAATCATAGCTAACCTTACATTTTTGTTCTATTTGGATCACTCACCATTAAAAATTTTAACAATGTTAACATGACTTTTTAATTATTTTTCAATCATGATATGACATCATTTTATGATGACACGTCAACATCACTGCTAAATTTTTAAAGACGAGTAACCAAAACAGAACCAAAGTATAAATTAAGTGTGATTTAAACTAAATAATAATTATATGACCAAAATAAAAAATAAATAATTAATGAGTGATTCACTAAGTAATTTACCCATGGGGCCATGGCCTAGGAATGGCTAACATATCATAAAAACATTCCCAGATAACGCAAATTTACGTTTGTCGCGCATACATCTTGTGTAATATTTAATAAAACTAATTAACATATTTAATTTAATTTGTTAATAATAAAGTTCAATATTATAATTTTATAAATAGAATTTTAATAGTATAAAGTGATTGTAGGGTAATATTTGTTTATAATCTATTTTAATCATTGATAATTCATACATCATACATATATGCAAACTTAATTATTCAAATCCAAATCTCTAACGAAAATAATACTCTATCTAATAACTAAATCTATTTAATAAGTTCATTTGATAAATATTAAATTAGGTGATTTTAATTCAAAAACTTATTAGGCATCACCCATTAGTTATTGTGCATTTATTGCTACCAATATATAACATATCAACATTATTGGCATTTCCAAAATACAAAGCTATAAAGTTCCGAAAGGCCAAACCAACCAAACTATGACGGGCTACATATCCTTAACACTCTAAAACAACAAGAATTAAAACATTGCCCAGTTACGTGATGCAACATACTTAAATCTGGTTTCTAAACCAAAACACACCTTTTTTCTTGTCCCCTTCATCTGGTTCCACGTAAAGACACTCTTTCGCCTCTCTCCATATTGCCTTATAAACTGGTGTCCCATCTAACTGGTAGTATTCCCCCAGTATCGGCTTTATCGCCTTGGTGGCCTCCATTGCATGATAATGCGGTATTGTCGAGAACAGATGATGAACAACGTGTGTGTCGGTAATGTTATGAAAAACTTTGTTCAGAATCCCATAATCTCTGTCGACGGTCGATAAAGCTCCCCTTAACCAGTCCCACTCCGAAGAATCATAGTGAGGCAATGAAGGGTGAGTGTGTTGCAAGTACGTGATCATTACAAGGAAAGCGTTTACCACCAATAATGGAACTCCGTAAACACAAATTACCCACGGTAACCCTTTGGCCAACACCAGGCGGTAGACCACGTAGGCTGCGGCGAGGACGCCGGCGTCGGAGACGTAAATTTGGAGACGTTCTCGGTCGGAGAAGATGGGCCGTAAGGGTTGTAATGGCAAGCTAATCGGTCGTACGGCCGGCCGGCGACGTTGAAGGCTAAGTAAAGTGGCCAGCCTAGGGTGAGTTGAATGGTGATTGACAACAACCGGCCCGGTGGATTGTTGAAGTGTTTGGCCCACCATCTTAGACCGGATTTTTTCTTCGGAACGAATACTTCGTCTCTTTCGAGGGAACCGGTGTTGGAATGATGACGACGGTGGCTATACTTCCAGGAGAAATATGGTACAAAGAGTGAAGAGTGGAGGATGAGGCCGACGGTGTCATCAAGCCACTGATAATTACTGAAAGCGTGGTGGCCGCATTCGTGTGCGATGACCCAAACTCCAGTCAAAACGCAGCCTTGCATGGCCCAATAAAGTGGCCATGCTATGTATCGGATAGGCTGAGGAAGGCGGTGGAAGTAACCGGTGGCTACGTAGTAGAAAAGAGAGGCCAATATGAAGTCGTAAACTACGTAGGAGAATGAGCGTAAAACGGAACGTCGGAAACAGTGTGGTGCGATGGCCTTTTTGATTTGACTCAGAGTGAGTGGCGGCTTTGTGATCGGAACTCGCTTCAGTGGATCGACTGCTGGTTTCTTTGGACTCGGTGGAACCGACATTCTGCCTCCTGCACCCATTGTTCCACACCTTGGAGAATATAGAGAAGGCAAAAAAGAGTTACTGGGATTATATAAATTTTATCATTATATTAACTTATTGTTTTTAATAGATGTTATATAGAAATTCTGCCATTATCCTCTTGTTAGCGGGTAGGTGAATGTGAAAATGCTTAGTCAGCGTTTGTTATGATTTTTTGTTATAAGGTTGTTAGGTGGCTTTAGAGTGCTGACTCAGTCTGCGTGCATGCAGCTTGCATCCTGGTGTGGGTTAACCTCAGCTATAAATTATAAGTTCTCTGATATCACGTTGATTTTTCTATTGATTGTTTTCTTACTTAAAAATGATCGAAGAAAGAGTGATTTTCCATTCACAAAGCACTTGCAATTTATAGCTGAGCTTAACCCACACCAGAATACAAGCTGAATGCACACAGGCTGAGTCAGCACTCTAAAACCACCTAACAATCTTGTAACAAAAAATCATAACAAATGCTGACTAGGCATTTTCACCTTCACCTACATGCTAACACCTCTAAGCTGAATGTTATACCAACTTAAAATCTTATAATTTTTAGAGTCCAAACCGAATATTTTGTTCACCGTGGGTTTGAATTTAATATGATATATATCACATATAATGTCAATGTACCTAATGAAGAAACCTCCTGATTAAAAAACGTGATTTGTGACAAAAGCAGAAAGAAAAATATAAGCCAAAGCCAAATAACCAACTAAACTAGTTACTGTCAACATTAATTCGTTGACCCATAATAAAACAGCTAATCGTCAGTATTAATTACTGTTGAAAGATTACGTGCATGGTGAGCTAAGGAGCACGTAATTAATGTGCTCTCAGTTGTATGCAAGCAAAGCCTTAGGCTATTAGATTGTTAGTCCAGTAGTTATGCTGTTAAGGAGACGGTTTTTCAGTCTTTTGTAAGCTATAAAGCTGCTGTATTCAGTTGTATCTTTGCACAAGAAATGTATTGATGATTTGAGCTTCTTCTTGAGTTTCTAATATGATATCTTTCGCCAAATGTTCTGGGCCTCTTCTCTGTTGTGCTCTCTGACGTGATTTGCTAGGTGTTGTTCTGGTTGTTTCGCCATGTTTACGAATAAGAAAGTAAACGTTGTTTTGGACGAGACTAACTTTCTTATCTGGAAGCAACAGATTTTTCTCACGGTTCGTAGTCACCGGCTCGAACGGCTTCTCAATGGCACGATGTTAGTACCGCCTGAGTTCATTGTTGATGAGAATGGAGTGTCTGTTATCAATGAAGCATTTGAAGATTTCATGGCACAAGACAGTGCTCTTACCTCGTGGCTTTTGTCCACAATCAGTGCTCTGCTTCTACCTCAATTTGTAGGAGCTGAGTCTGTAGCGGCTTTTTGGCGCACTGTTGTACAGTTCTTTGTCAATCGATCTACAACGGTCATGAACTTGCACTACAAGCTTCAGTCGTTGAGGAAAGGTGATGACTCGATGCGTGTATATTTCACCCATATTAAGGAGATTTGTGATGCACTTGAATCTTGTGGTAGCCCTATGTCGCAGATTGAGCTCGTTTTGAGCGTTTTGAAAGGCTTGCCAAGAGAATATCAGTCGTTTATGGAATTGATCACTACAAGTCCATATACACTTTCTTTGGATCGGATTTATTCCGTGCTCATTGATGCGGAGACACAGTTGGCTGGATTTAATTCTCATGCTGAGAATTTTCCAATGAGTGCCGACGTTGTGTAGGGTAACGTTCATGTTAACTCTACCGCATTTGATAATTCTCATTATTACAAACAACAACATTCTACCTCGATGCGTGGTGGACGGTCTGGTGGTAGAGATCAAGCACGTCTACAGTGTCAACTATGTGGTAAGAATGAACACTCGGTTGATAGATGTTGGTATCAGTTTGCGTGATTTTGCAGGTGTTTTAGCAAATAATACACAACCACGATCTAAGGGTGAATCGAGTAGTGTTAACTATGTGAGTATTGACAATGTTGATTGTGCATGTTGTGCCAATAAGCATGGTGATGTCTCGATGGTGGTGCGTCTCAGGCTAATATGGTTGCATCTCCTCGTGCTCAGTGGGTTGTTGATTCGGGTGCCACACATCATGCGACTCCTGATGAGTCCAATATTGCTCACACTAATGATCTTGATGGTCCAGGTAATCTATTGGTTGGGAATGGAGTTTCTCTTAATGTAAATGTGGTTAGTAAATCTTTATTACACTCATCATCATCCTCGGGAGCTTTGTTACTTACAGACCTCAAACACTAAACATCTTCTTTCGATGTCAAAGCTTGTTAGGGATAATCACATATTTTTCGAGTTTCACGTTAATGGATGTTGCATTCATGATGAGCTGTCGGGAAAGATTATACTACAAGGAAATCAGCAAATGGTCTTTATACTTTTGCATTGGATAATAATAATTCGAACAATTGTAATAAACCAGAGGTTCTTTCAGTTGATGCCTCTTGTAATGCCCTTGATTTGTGGCATAGGAGATTAGGACATCCAGTCTTTCCTATTTTAAAGTCTGTTGATAAGACACTTGATGTTACTATTTCAGATAATGCAAATCACACTTGTGTTGCTTGTTGTGGGGTAAAAGTCACAGATTACCCTTTACGAATCTACTACAATCTATGATGTACCATTTCAACTTGTGTTTTCTGATCTTTAGGGGCCTTCACATGAGCCTTCTACTGGGTATCGATACTATATTTCTTTTGTGGATGCGTGTACTAGATATACATGGGTGTATTTCTTGAAGGATAAATCACAGACAATTGTAGCATTTCGTCTATTTCAAAGCATGGTTAAGACTCAATTTTCTTTACCTATTAAAGCAGTGCAAAGTGACTGGGGGATAGTATATAAACTAGTCGAATGAGTTAACTCAGGAAGGTTTTTTTCATAGGGTCACTTACCCTCATACCTCTAAGCAAAATGGGGTTGTAGAGCGTAAACACCGACACTTAATAGAGTTGGCACTTGTACTGTTAGCTGAAGCCTATCTTCCAATTCGTTTTTGCTCATTTGCAGTAGTTAATGTTGCTCGTCTTGTGAATAGATTACCAACCAAGCTGCTAGGCAATATTTTCCCTTTTGAAAAGTTGTTTGCTAAGAAGCCAGACTATAAGGTTCTGCATGTGTTTGGTTGCAGGTGTTTTCCGTATCTTCGAGCGTTTCAACCACACAAGTTGATTCCCCAGTCCAGAGTGTGTACGTTTTTGGGTTACAGCACTCAACATCGAGGATTTCAGTGTCTTGACTCCACTGGACAAGTTTTTATTAGCAAGCATGTTAAGTTTGATAAATTTGTTTTCCCTTTTGCAGAGACAAAGCCTACTGCATGTCATTGTGCTCAGTTCTCTTCTAGGTCAGCAGCACCTGAGATTGTTGTTGAGCGTCACAATACATGTCCTCAAGTAGTAATACCACAACATGCATATACTAGTGTCACTTCACATACAGATGTTGTGTTGAGTGAAGGTGGTCATTATTCTTTGTTGGCAGGCGTTGATTCGGGCAATATATTCCCTCTCTGTCTGTTGATGGTTCATTCTCGAATGTTGATCCAAGTAGTAGTGGTACGAACAATGGAGATGCACAACCTGTTGGTGAAGCTTCAGTTCAGTCCGCTGGTGAAGCATCGGTTGACATTATACATGTCACTAATAATCATCCCATGCTTACACGAAGTAAGTGTGGTATCTTCAAGCCAAAAGTGTTTGTCAATGAATTAGACATGACAATTCCTACTGATATCCATCAGGCCATATAGTCTAGTAATTGGGCAGCTGTTGTTCAGAATGAATTAGCAGCTCTACAAAGAAATGGTATGTGGTCATTGGTGTCACTGCCAGCTAGATGAACAACAGTTGGTTACTAATGGTTGTTCAAATTAAAGCAGAATCCTGATGGTACGGTTAATCGTTACAAGGCTAGCCTTGTTGCAAAGGGTTTTTCACAAGTGCCATGGTAAGATTTTAAAGAAACCTTCAGTCAAGTGGTCAAATTTCCAACGTTGAATGTTGTTTTGTCTGTTGCTGTCACAAACAAGTGGTCTCTAAGGCATGTGGATGTTAACAATGCCTTCTTAAATGATGAATTAAATAAAGATGTCTTCATACATTAACCACCTGGGTTCGAACAGTTTACTGCAGATGGCACTAAGCGTGTGTGCAAACTTCATAAGGCTCTTTATAGGCTACGCCAAGCACCAAGGAATTGACATACTAAGCTGAAGGATAGCCTTTTGTAAATGGGATTTCGATCATCGAAAGCTGATGTCTCATTGTTCATTTCTCATGCTCAATGAGTCTCTACATATGTACTTGTCTATGTATATGAAATTCTTGTTAGAGGGCAGTCTGTTGTTGAGATTGGGCGAGTGGTTCAGTCACTTCGCGATAATTTCTCTTTAAAAGACCTTGGTGACTTAAAGTATTTTCTAGGAATTAAGGTTCAGCGATATGGTGATCATTTGGTGCTTAATCAAAAAAAAATATTTTAGAATTATTGGGGAAAACAAGCATCAATTGTCACCCCTATGGTATATTTTTGGGTTTAAAGTAGGTCAATTTATTATTTTTTTTATTTAAAATCACATCTTAACTTTAAAAAATATATATTATTTTTTCTCAATTTATCAAATATATTTTATTCTTATATTACCTAAAAGATATATTTTAATCATATCTTAACTTATAATATATATTTTATTCTTATTTTAATTTAAGAAATATGTTTTATTTTTATCTTAAATATAAAATATATATTTTATCTTAATTTAAAATATTATAAGAATAAAATTTAAATAGTTAAATTAAGATAAAAATATTTAATATTATGAATTTAAGATTATACTAAGAAACAAGATATATTCAATATGTAATCTATTTTAAACCAAAAAATGTACTTATCCTAGCGGTTGGGCTTCTCTTTTAACCCCCAAGTGATATTAGTGTCACGTGACATTATCTAATTTGAATATTAAATTTATTTATTTTATTAAAATTTAGACAAATTGAGAGAATATATAAGTTACAATGATTAAATGTGTAATTATATTAATTTTATTAATTGTCACGTCAACACTTTAATTAAATGTTAACTATTATGTTAAATGTTAACAACAAATGATCTGATTAAATGCATTAAATAATTAATTGGTAAGAATTCAAAAATAATGATAAAAAAGTTATAGTTAGGAGGTCTGGTATAATTTACCATATATTTAAACATTTGACAGTACAATTACTAAATCACACCAAATAAAGATTGCACTCTAAAACCCAGTCGCATGGTCATACGGAAATTTAAGAAAATAAAAAAAGGTTGGGGGGAGGCCAGTCTGGACACGGGTCGGGTTGATCCGTAAATTTCATACCCTCTGCAGACTTGATCCGAATTAAAATATATATACTCTTTATTTGATCCAATTAGACTTTTTAAGATAAAATTTGAATCCGATCTGATTCTATCTAAAATAATAAAAATATTATTTTATTTAATAATAATAAGGATTTAATTAAAAATAATATATAAATAGATATTATTGTGATTATTTTTAAATATATAAAGTAAAACTATATTTTTCAGATCGGATCGATTATTTTTCACCTTAAAAATAAACCCGATCCAACCCAAACATTAATTTAAAAAAAACCCGACCCAAATCTAATTTTTTTTTAAAAAAATTCCACTTTATGATTTCGAATAAAAAACCGTAGAAATCAAGTATCATGACATGCCGGTGGAGGTGTGGGAATAAGTGTTAAATCACGAAATCACGTGAGGCAGACACCGTGGCCAAATAGCATACCAAATCAGCCATCCGTTTCAACTATTAAGTAACAGAACACTTCTTACCCAAACAATATCACAACACAAATTTACCAAAAAGTGTCTACATCTCTAATTAGCTAGTAAACGTGGTGGTAAAATTAGGGATGCCATAACTTTTACTACCTCGTCACTTATATAATATCTATATCTTTCTAATAAAATAATTTTAAAAACCAATTTAATAATTTTACATATCTTGTATAATAATAAAATATTATTATATACTGAATATATATTTTAAACCTATTTATAGAATGGAGAATATCTTCTAACTGTAAACAAAATAATTATCTATAATAAAGTTCAGATTTAGTTTTTATAAAATTAAACCCTAAACTTTAAATTTTAATCTTTAAACCAAGGCAAGTCAGTCGTAAAAAAGAAAGAAATCATTTCTTTTATTATAATCAGCTGTCGTCCATAGCAAATATAAATTAAATCAAGTTGTGCATAGCTGACAAGTGATAATGTTAAACATTTGTGAAATATATTTTTTAACTTTTATACTCGAAAACTATTGCCAAAAAAAATAACAACCAACATAAAGACATGAAACCTATTTCAATATAATTTTTGGAATTTTATAAACAAATTCGCATTATATTCTTTGAATAGAATCATTAGACTTCTTCACCGGAATCAATAGGATATGCCTTTGAAGATGCACATTTCATACCTTTATAAATAAATAAACTGATCAATGTACTTTATAATAAGGACAATTCTTCTTAATATGTCTCTACTAAAAAACATTTTTTTGTTAAAATAAAATAAATATGAAGTTTACCCAAAAGAAATCACTTACCCCTCAAAAGAGATGTAAACCATGTTCAATATCAGATTGAATGACTAAATCAGCTCATCAAACAATAAGAAACAAA